AAAGTAGTGATTATTTCTCGAAACGACGACAAACATTACTGTAGTGCTGTAAATTACTCAGAAGATCTACGAACTTCCCTGATTTTCTTTTGATTTCTCTAAAGATTTCAGTTTTTTAAAACTTCTCTGAAGTTTTTTTTTTTAATTTCCCTAAAGTTCTGCTAGTTTCTCTGAAGATCTACGACCTTCGGTGTAGTAAGATCTTCATAACAATTTCCGATTATTCTACGTTCTGAAGAAATTTTCAAACGACTTCAATTCGATTTTTTATCAGATGTTGGTCCTCAGAATAATTCCTGATCAACTTGACCTCTTCGAAAAATATCTCAAGATTTTAATTTCTAATCCTTATCAACCTGACCACTTCGAATATTTTCTAAATTACTTTATTTGAATTTCTGATCAGTTGTAGGTCTTCAAAACAATTCCTGCTTATTTTGATCTCTTGTAGTAATATCCGAAAAGTTTCGATTGATTTATTGATCAGTTGTTGGTTCTCAGAATAATACCTGATCAATTTAAACTATTCAAAGAATATCAAAAGGACATCGTTTGAATTTCTGTTCAGTTGTAGGTCTTCAGAATAATTATTAACTTAAATTAAATTAAATCTGGTATTTTTCTGATGTTTATAGAACTACCAACAATCAATACGAAACTAACGATTTTAAATTGGCTCACCACTTTAGTAGCCTATTGGTCCCAAGCAAACGATTAACGTACCCTATTCTAGTTGAAATTCTATTACTACACTATGTTTGTTTTGATTCGCTATGAAAGTTTGACAGATAACATCAGGGGTGTGTGGATTCATGCAGAACATGCAGGGGTGAGTGAAATAGCTTGGGACTGCTTGGGACCGTTGTTCTGGTACTGAGTGAGCCAAAAATAATAATGATTTTCTTCGGGACCCAGTGGTCTTAGAGTTACCTCTATGGAACTACCCTGAAGTTCTAGTAGTTCTTCTAACTAACCTTAAAATGTACATTTACCCCTATACCGCTATGCCGCTGTCCTGGTGTCATTGGGTTCGGCCCTTTACCTGGCTCGTAGACATTTCAAAGACAACAATGTCTGCATGATGTTTATACATCGGTTCAAACTATGCGTATTGATAAGTTTTCTGAAAAGATTTGGATCTAGGTGCATAGTTTGCTTTGATAGTCTTTCAGTTTCTCTAGCATTCTCTAGTCTTAGCTCATCTAAATATTTATTGCAAAATCCCTGGATTAATCTTCAATTTGGCTTTGTTTTCTTGTTTATTTTCTATCGTTCTATGTTCTGCAACCGAGTGGCAACCACTTACGCTAGGGAGGCAATTGAACACCTAGACCTGGACTCATCAACTCAAGGGCCAGGATCCACGGCTGTGCTTCTTTTCGAAGGAAGGCATGACACCACCAAAGCAACCAAGGAAGTCATCAATCCCCACCAACTGACGAGTTTCGTTTGTGGTTCGACACATGGACGGAGCATTTGTGTTTTGCTAAATTTTGCAAATTATTGGGGAATTTCCCTAAAGTTTCACGCGGCCACCAGTTTTCACTCTTCCACAGGCCTTAAGGGTAACCCACATTAGATCTGCTTGCGTTGCGTTGTCGTAAATTTTATAGTTAGACAATATATTTAGCTGTCACTTTGCTGCATCGCTCCAGATCCGGATCTAATGTGGGTGGCCCTGTAGATTTGGAAACTTGATTATGTAAACACTAGGCATCTTTGTCTGGTAGTTCGTTCAAAAATGATACAACAATCGTCAAGCTCGCTGTAACGTCACCTAGTGCCTCGTCACCTACAAATTGGCGCCTATGTCAGTGGTCTAATAACTCTTAGCGCGCTAATGGCATAGTTCCCCTGCCGCATAGAGAGTTACCACAATGACATTAGGTTAGCTAAGGTCAGTTAACTGACTGGTGGGAAACGGGAGCTTACGCAATGGCTATTCTGTATGCATTTAAGAGATAGTCTACCAGAATGGATGATTTTTTTTTGTACAATTTTATGTTTTCTGATTGTGCAAAACATGAGAATTAACTTTTCCAATGCTTTCAATTGTACAAAGCATTAGTGCCAGAAACATGATCTTGTAAACACTACACACCTTAACTGTTAGTTTGATTAAAAAATGCTGCAACAATCGTCAAGCTCGCTGTAATGTCACCAAGTGCCTCGTCACCTACAAATTGGCGCCTATGTCAGTGGTCTAATAACTCTTAGCGCGCTAATGGCATAGTTCCCCTGCCGCATAGAGAGTTGCCGCAATGACATTAGGTTAGCTAAGGTCAGTTAACTGACTGGTGGGAAACGGGAGCTTCAGCATTGACAGTTATGTACGCATTTTTATGATGTTATCTAACAACAATGGTGTGTAGTGTTTACACGATTATGTTACTAATTCTAATGTGTTGTAAATATAATTGAAAGCATTTGAAAAGTAAGATTCTTGTGGTTATACTACTTAAAACATAAGTAAACATCTACATTTTAAAACATTCAAACAACGTTTACTTTAAACGTTTTGTACATCTGAAAACATCAGAGAACAACAAACAGGAAGTACAATTGAAAACATCCGAACAACGTTTAGTTCTAACGTTGTGTACATCCGAAAACATCCAAAAAACGTTTGGTTCTAGCATCGGGAAACATCTACATAAGAAAACATTAGAATACATTTACATATAAAAACATCCGAACAACGTTTAGTTCTAACGTTTTTTACATCCGAAAACATCCAAAAACGTTTGGTTCTAACATCAGGAAACTTCTACATTAAAAAACATCAGAAAACATTTACATATAAAAACATTTAAACAACGTTTAGTTCTAACGTTTTTTACATCCGAGAACATCCGAAAACGTTTGGTTCTAACATCGGGAAACATCTACATTAGAAAACATCAGAAAACGTTTACATATAAAAACATCCGAACAACGTTTAGTTCTAACGTAATGTACATCAGAAAACATCCTTAAAACGTTTGGTTCTAATGTCAAGAGATTGAAATTTTTGACGTCAGACCGACATTAGAATGGCAAAATTTTGTTCCAAAATTTCTGATGTATACACCATGTTACGTTGCTTAAATACAACTAAATCATAATGTTTTCTAATGTTTGACATCAGGCATACATTTGATTTCGATGCTGATGTAGACATCAAAATCAAACGTTGGGCTAATGTAAATTTCTATTCGGGTAAAGGCCCAAACGCAATATGGGTGGAAGCGGAACGGAAAGTTTGACAGTTGTCACAAATGGCATCAAGATGCCTAACCAAAGTCGATTTGGTTCTAACTAGTTTTCAATCCGACAAGTTGGCTTACTCAGATCCTCGCTCAGATCGGGCTTTCCCGCAGCCGCTGCCGTTCCGCTTCAGCTGTCATTGCGCTTGGGCCTTAAAGGCCAGCGCACAATAGATACGTTTTCGGGTTTTTTGACAGTTAGCCCATACATTATCTGTCAAAAAACCCGAAAACGTATCTATTGTGCGCCGGCCTTAAGGGCCACCCACATTAGATCCGTTTGCGTTGCGTTGACGTAAATTTGACAGTTAGACAATAGATTTAGCTGTCATTTTGCCGCAACGCGTCCGATCCGGATCTAATGTGCGTGGACCTTTAGAGGTATTAAAGTGTGGATTATTTTGAGTTTATCTTTTAATTCTTTTTTTTAAACCTCAAGTTCACTTGAATCTACTAACAAGCAAAGGTAAACAAACCACCACTGGATGTCAAACTGAGGAATGCGGGTTCATCGAGTTCATTCATGACGTCAGCGTGCAGCATCCTATATTAAACAATAATGCACAAATTAAAAATCATACAAATAATCTTGTAACAAACGGTTACATGCTGTAAAAACAATCTGTGTGTGTGTATGTTTTGACAGCTAAGAGAGCACTGAAACTTTTGAACCACCCTAATGAACATATTTATTAGGTTTTGCACCGTCGGGGTTAACCTAAATCTGATGACAGTTCAGTGGTACTGTTTACGTGGACTTAGTCGATTTTTTCTTGGGTGGATTTTCTCGATAATTTTTCAGACTGCAGTGAGATGTACACAGCATTTCTGCAATGTTCACGAGCAACATCCTTGCAACGCGCTGTTCCTCGACAATTTTCAAGTTAAAATTCAGAAACTTTAGAATTTTTTTTTCGAAAAAACGACTAAGTGCTTGTAAACAGTACCAGTGAACTGTCAAAAAGGTTCAGCCGTTTAACACTGAGTTCATTTGTGACGTCACGCTGCAGAACCTAATTAGGTTCTGCAGCGTGACGTCACAAATGAACTCAGTGTTAATAGGCTGAACCTTTTTGACAGTTCAGTGGTACTGTTTACAAGCACTTAGCCGATTTTTCGAAAAAAAAATTCTAAAATTTCCGAATTTTAACTTGAAAATTGTCGAGGAACAGCGCGTTGCAAGGATTTTGCTCGTGAACATTGCAGAAATGTGGTTTACATCTCAGTGCAGTCTGAAAAATTATCGAGAAAATCTACCCAAGAAAAAATCGACTAAGTCCACGTAAACAGTACCACTGAACTGTCATCAGATTGAGGTTAACCCCGACGGTGCAAAACCTAATTAGGTTCTGCAGCGTGACGTCACAAATGAACTCAGTGTTAATAGGCTGAACCTTTTTGACAGTTCAGTGGTACTGTTTACAAGCACTTAGCCGATTTTTCGAAAAAAAAATTCTAAAATTTCCGAATTTTAACTTGAAAATTGTCGAGGAACAGCGCGTTGCAAGGATTTTGCTCGTGAACATTGCAGAAATGTGGTTTACATCTCAGTGCAGTCTGAAAAATTATCGAGAAAATCTACCCAAGAAAAAATCGACTAAGTCCACGTAAACAGTACCACTGAACTGTCATCAGATTGAGGTTAACCCCGACGGTGCAAAACCTAATACGATTGAATGAAAAATGAACGTTCTGATGAATTTAGCATGAATCGTGTTTTGATATGATACGCACTGTCAAAAAACAGAGCTGCTTCTCAAGTTTGGCTCACTTTACTCGTGTGTTCTCAAGTAATTTTAATTGTTTCATAAATTTACTTGTATATTCATTCAAATGTTTCTAAAAATCATGCAATCATCAATTCGCGTACTGAGAAGAGGTAAGTTTCATTGTGTTCAGTTAAACGAATTCCAATAAGGCAGAACATATGATTCCTTTTCAGGTTACATAAATCATGCGACCGGTCCAATGGTCGGTGCTGTTCGATATTCTTCAACTGCGACAGATCCCGATGGACCCGTTGAGCTGGAAGAGAATCCCTTTGCTAAGGATCGTGCACAATGTATTCTATGCAAGAATAACATTTCGCCTGACTACAAGAACGTCCAACTACTATCACAATTCCAAAGTCCTTATACCGGCCGAATCTATGGAAAACACATAACCGGTTTATGTAGAAAGCGCCAGGAGCAAGTTGAGAATGAAATCATCAAAGCTCAGAATGCCGGCTTTATGCCAACTTATCACAAGGCTGTCGAGTTCCTAGAGGACCCCAAACTGTTTAATCCGGAACGGCCCATGCGACCACATAAATATTAAATTTGTTTGGTGTAGTTTCAGTAATAGACGGACTAAAAAGTATACCACTGTTTTTTTATTACGGATATTTCGAAGCACTTTAAAAAAATATATAGTTTTAATCTTTCGATGGACTGATATGTGTATCTAATTTCAGTATGAGTATCATGGAAAGCAACTTGCAACAGCTTATAACGACAAAACGTATTTACTAGAACATCGCATCATTCAATCGGGCTCAAGGAACTCTTGATTTTCTTGGTCGTAATTAACCAAACCGAATGGAATTTGGAGCATGTTCAGCAGAGATTCCATATCGCCAGACCCTCGCCTTTCCTGTAGATCATTCAAAGCTTGAACGCAACCTACTCTCCACACCGAGATGCTTTCCTTAACTTCCTGAATACGTTGCCTTATTATTGATTGTTTTGAACTATCTGCACTGTTCACACATGGAGATTCCTTCAATCTAGGAAGGGTATCGGTATCCTTTGTTGCATTATCCTCGCTTATTTCCGGTTCTGAACATTTCTCCACTTCGTCCATTAGCTTCCGACGTTTTATGTTCAGCATCTGCTTTTGGTGTGTAATCTTATTCCTCCAACTTTGACTTAGTGATAAACGAGTTTTCTTTGAGGTAGACTTGGTGTTGGCTGGAGTAACCGGTGTTGTACCGTTATCATCTTCCGTATCACTATTAGCACCAATCGAGCAAGTACTTTTGATTGGGCGCATTTTGTGAGCATCTGAACTGGGCATATTTTCTGATGAAACATTGCACTCAGCGGGGCTCGCCAATGCGGATGTGGGAGTATTTGTTATATCCTAAAACAAGAAAGTAACATATTGATATACATGGGGATGTTTCTAAGACTGATAATAATCTCCCTTTGATACCAACAGAAGAATACTTACTGTTACAGAAGCGGATCCTGTTCTTTTAATACTTCTGGCTAGCCCAAGCCTCCGGAATGGAGTTTTATTCTGTATTGGCGTGTTTGTACTGCTCATCGTTTGTTTTGTTTATGCACTTTAATGGTTTGCACATTTACATAATACGTAGAAGCGACAGGTTTTCCTAACTTTCAACACTCGAGTGCACTCGTCCATCTGATAAATTAATCCGAATTCACTGCGAACGTTAGCATCAACTATGGAGTTGACACCACTCACAGAAACGAACAACATGGTTAAAAGGCTTAGTGGCAAATGTAAACAATGAATGTTGATTGTTCACGAATCACAACACATCCACGCAAACAAAATACACCATCAGATAGAGAGAACTTCCGCTACCAGATGCTAGTATTAGTTTGCTTGAAAGTCTTAATCCTTGAGAAATCAACATATAAAGTCAATATTTATCTTTATCGCATACGCCCTGTTCATATATTGTTCTAGCACTGCCAAACGAAGAGGTAAAAGTGAAAACAAGCAAAAACACGCATGTTTATCAAAGATTTAAACTAAAAAAGTGATTGAATTTAAAAGGAAGTTTATCAACAAGTAATGAACAATTATTCAGGACGACACGATAATGTTCATGAACAAGATGTATTGGAGCAAAGTTTTGTCAGGAATACTCAAACAGTGATTCAGGTAGGTTTTTGTTTTCTTCTCCTGAATCCCTAAAGACATTGAATGTTGAGTAGTTAATTACGATAAAATGTTCGATCAGTCAATTTTGTTGTGCTCAAGGCCTGAACTTTCAATATATATTTTCACGAGGGGTTTCTACCAAGCTTGTAAGGTGATCGGTAATCAAAAATTACAACAAATTATTAAAATAATTAGTTAATTTTGGATTACAATGAAATAAAAATACTTGTGGGTAATTTATGAGTAATTTCAGTAATTCCTACTGCTTGGAAAATAATTTGGCAATTTTAAAGATAATTAAACAGTAATTCGAGTAATTCCATAAATAATTTTACTCTAGAATTATCCTATTCTTTATTATTCTATGTAAATTTTATGATTTTAGTTGTTTCATGTATACTTTATTATTGAATTAAGATACAAAACAAATCTTAAAGAAATAGGGGCCACATTATGCAGAGTGGATCAAGTGACGGATCTTACTGCCGTATTGGACTCGCAGCTTTCCATTCATTCCCATTATGCGTCGATTATTTCCAAGGCTAATCGTCAACTTGGCTTCATCCAAGGATTTCACGGATTCAAACTGTCTAAAAGCATTGTATTGTTCACTCGTAAGGCCGATCCTAGAAAATGCTTCAGTTGTATGGGCTCCAAACGACGTAACATGGAACCTAAGAATCGAGCGTGTGCAAAAAAGATTCATACGACTTGCGCTTAGAAACCTACAGTGGCGTGATCCTTTGAACCTTCAAGCGTATCCCGATAGATGCCGGTTGCTTGATCGAAGACGTAAGCTACAACAGGCTAAGTTTATAGCTAAATTACTCAAACGTGACGTCAATTGCTCTCATCTTCTGTCACTGCTTGATTTCCGTGCTTCAGGTAGAATGTTACCAAATATATTATATTAACAATATGATCTACTCTTTCGCTTAGCTGGCGATTCGAATTTTTAGCGATGAAAGCACCTCTGTGGCCAAAAAGGCTACCAATGTATTTGTTTATCGTCACGAGGGGTAAACCAAATGAAAATTTGTTTAATATTTCAAATGAATGTATTTCAGCATTTTATTTTAATTGATGACAACAGTGACATGTCAGACAAATTTTAAAGTAATATACACAACGTAATTAATGAAAATAATTTGACTCTTACTTTTGTAATAAGTGCTATATTCGCACCCCTCGATTGTAATTGTTTGTTGATTGTAGCTGACCTTTTTCAACGCTAGATGGTGCGTGAAGCAAAATTTTGCGGGTCACCATTGCAAGATTTGGAAAAGCATGAATGGATCATATTTTTAATATGATATATTTGATGTTACGTCAGCAATCCCTGATGCAACCGAGCTTTCATCGTACTCTCTTATGGCTATAACCAGCCTATTTGTGTAATGGTTCGTATAATTGTATCCGTCAAGTCCGCGTTTGATTTTGGTATGTCCACACCTCAATTTTGAATAGAGTAAGAAGACTGAACCTTATTTAAGATGACGAATAGTTTATTTATTTATACAACTTTGTCAGATGAATTATTAAATAAACAAATAAACTCTCGATGCAACCAAATCGAGAATTGTTAATGTCCAAAATTTAATCCAAATCAAAACGAAAGCAACAGACGAGTCTCTCTATATTTAAATACAGTATTTACAGTAAAACCACAGACAAACAGACATAACACATTGAATATTTCTCACTGTAAAACATCGTCGCAAAAACATTACCGCCATCTGTTGAAACAGTGACTGGCGAAGAAATCAATTTAAATAATGTGGTTCACTGTAATAGAATTTTCTTGGAAGCTTGTGCCATCATCCACCAGATGGGTTAGTTTTTTTTTGTTTTGATTTGAACAAAGTTGATTTTGTGTACAATGATTCTTTGACAGTGTGCAAAGAGCACAAACGAAGTGACAGACGGAGCGGCTCGAAAACTTTGGTGACTAACCTGCTATTGCATTTTTTCAGTGTACCACATGGTAACACCACTACTACTGGATTGTACCACATGGCAACACTACTACTAGATTGAACTAGCATTTTCACCAAATGTACTAGAATGTTTTGGTTCTGTCTCTTTCACTCTACTCAAAACTGAAATGCACAAAAAAATTACAAAATGATACGCACTTTTTGCACACACGGTGTTTCGTGAAAACCCATTAATGGGTAAAAAAATACCCATTTTCAAACCATGTATTCAGCTGTCAAAAAATGGGGGAATTTTGAAATCATAAAATGGGTGAAAAAATACCCATTTAAAGAATCAGTTCACGGTTGAATAATGGGTATATTTTTTACCCATTAATGGGTGAAAAAACACTTCGAAATTTTATCGTCTCATTTCCGTCACCGGCTCATTGGGAATGCAAACCTCGATGTAAACAGTTACTGTCCGCAGCAACGATCTCCGGAAAATGTTAGAATCCAAAACGTTGGAGAGGCTTACGGATAAGTCAATACAATGGATAATATGTATTATAATGTTTCGTGAAAAATTTGAGCGGAACACCTGCATTTATTTTCAATGTTTTAAAAATATTTTTACATCAACGAGCGCTTGCATCCTCCATTTGTAAAAATGGGTATTTTTTCACCCATTTTACGGTAAACACAATATAAGAAAATGGGTGAAAAAACACCCATTTATTGACAGACCACCCATTTACCCATTTATGAGTAAACCATAGTTTACCCATTAAATGAGGAGGGGCACTTTTAGCGGAAATGGGTATTTTTATACCCATTAATGGGTTTTCGCGAAACACCGTGCACTGTCAAAGAATCATTGTACACAAAATCAACTTTGTTCAAATCAAAACAAAAAAACTAACCCATCTGGTGGATGATGGCACAAGCTTCCAAGAAAATTCTATTACAGTGAACCACATTATTTAAATGGATTTCTTTGCCAGTTAGTCGTCTGTCACTTCGTTTGTGGCAAAGACTGCGTATCATTTTGTCATTTTTTTATGCATTTCAGTTTTGAATAGAGTGAAAGAGATAGAACCAAAACATTCTAATACATTTGGTGAAAATGCTAGTACAATCCAGTAGTAGTGTTGCCATGTGGTACAATCCAGTAGTAGTGGTGTTGCCATGTGGTACACTGAAAAATTGAAATAGCAGGTTAGTCACCAAAGTTTTCGAGCCGCTCCGTCTGTCACTTCGTTTGTGATAGAATTTTCTTGGAAGCTTGTGCCATCATCCACCAGATGGGTTAGTTTTTTTGTTTTGATTTGAACAAAGTTGATTTTGTGTATAATGATTCTTTGACAGTGTGCAAAGAGTGTGTCATTTTGTCATTTTTTTATGCATTTCAGTTTTGAGTAGAGTGAAAGAGATAGAAACAAAACATTCTAATACATTTGGTGAAAATGCAAGTACAATCCAGTAGTAGTGTTGCCATGTGGTACAATCCAGTAATAGTGGTGTTACCATGTGGTACACTGAAAAATTGAAATAGCAGGTTAGTCACCAAAGTTTTCGAGCCGCTCCGTCTGTCACTTCGTTTGTGGTTTTACCATATTTTATTCCACTACGCGATTCCGAAAGTATACTCCGGTAGTTTGTTCGTTTTTTCGGTGTTTTCGCTGCATAACCTGTGGTATTGTTTTCCGACAACTTCAGGAGCTTGTATACAAAATTTTACTTCTCCAGCTTGGGTTTAGGCTTACTTAAGCGCTGGCCAGACTGATCAGTTATAACAGGTTATAACATGTTATAACGGTTGTCAAATAATTGCAACACAGAAACCACCATCAAGATAGCGCTATAACATGTTATAACCAACAACATGATTTGCTATGAAAGTTTGACAGATAATATGAAGGGTTCATGGATTGTCTTATGTTTCGAGGGGTGCATCGATTAGCTTGGGACCGAAGATAGTACCAGAGCTGAGCAAAAAAGTTGAGCACGTATCTTCGGGACCTTTTGGTCTTTTTTTTTCCTCTGTTCGGGACCTAACACTACTGCGACCAGTAAATTGATCTATTGTAGTATATCCCGTGTCCTTAGTTTAGTGCATGTCGATGATGAAGTATTCGATTCGAATGATGAAGTATTCGATTTTTTTTACAGTTGTCACTCTTGCATTTATCGCAAGGATCCGACTCTAATTGAAAGGTCCCGCTATTTATACCCTTCGGAGTGTTACATCCTCCATTGGCGCGCCCCTTTGTCAGTCAAAATTGGATTCCTTAGCAACAAAATTAAGGTATGACACCGATAATGACCATGCATCAGAACCCTAGTCTTAACCACTTCAAACTAGGGAACAACGAATAGAAGATTAGGAATCACATAGATGAAGACAACTAAATCATTTTTTTCCTTGTTTCAAGATCATCCTCGGTAGACAAAGCCGAGTCTTGTCACTATCAACAAGGCATAAAAAGTAACAAGGACTAAGATGTGTTCCTTGGATTACTGAAAAATTCTGTTCCCCTAGTTTGAAGTAGTCAGGACTAGGAATCGGTGGTAGATCTTACATCCCGTAACGTACCACGAAAAGGTGATCTACCCACGTTACGGGGCAGAGTTACCTCTATGTTATAACTCTGCAGTCTGAACGTACTATTATAAACTGATTCAGTATAAGCTAGCCGGTACAGAGCAACACAGAAAAAAAAGTTGTAAAATATTACATCCAAACTGCTGCAACCAGGTCAATCTATTGGTCGTGTAATATAACGTTGTAAGATTTGCATCGATTTTGCGAACAAAATTGCATCCATTGATGTAATATTGTATCTGCTTTATGCTATTAAATCATTATTTCATACATCAGCTTGAATTACATTGATCGATTTTACATTTTTTTTGCTGTGTAGGTAAAGAATAACCGTTGAAAATTAATTACATTTTTTGTTTGTTTTGATTAGTACACTTTATTAAACAATCTAAAAATAACAAAAATCTATTGCAGGGACGATGTAAATCATGCAAGGTCTGGATCAACAGCCAGTTTGGTGTTAGAAGCAAAAATCTTGTAAACATTGCTAAGCAAGTAAATGACGACGTCACGTCTGCACAACATTACATACTGTGAACAGCAGACGTGACGTCCACAGAAAACCGCTGGTTTGTGTAAAAAGATAAACATTACGATGAAATACGATCATCACTTATCATTTACACATTTCAGTAATACCAATAAGCCGGTTGGACCAGACCTTGTTTAATTGACATAGTTCCAGAGACCCAAGCCATACGACTCCAGGATATTTCAGGAGCTTGTATACAAAATTTTATATCTCCAGTTTAGGTTTAGGCTAACTTATAGCTGATTCAGTAAAAAAAAGGCTAACTTAAAGCTGATTCAGTAAACGTTGCCTGAAAATGTAGTGTATCAATTTATTGCGCATTTCACACCAAATTGGACTAATAAGCGCGTTTTCACTTACTAAAAAGTGTGATAAAACTGCAAGTTTACGTCTAATCGTCTTGGTGTCTTGGGTGCACTTATCCCTTATGATGCAAGCAATAAGTGCTCCGAATACATCAAAACGATTTGACGGAAACGTGCACTTTTATCACACTTTTTGCATTTTTGGGACAGTCCAGTTTCAGATGCAATCAGCAATATCATATAATATTTTTTTTCATTATTGGGGTGGCAGAGCACGAATAGAACTTCGGTTCACTCGGCCACTCTACCGATTTAGTGTTGTTTCACATAAACATCATTTGCTGATCACATTGCAAAAATTAATGTGTGGGACACATAAAAACAATCTTTGAAATTTTATCAGTGTAGTAATCCCGAATAAAGCCTGGTACACTCAAAAAATTCCACACGTTTGATCGAAGTGTTTAAACACTTGATTTTTTAAATGCACAATCACATTTACTTTAAGTGTATTTCACCTTAGTTCAATGTGTTATAAACGTTAATTTCTAGTGTTTCAAACTTTGAAATGTTGAAAATCTTTCACTATCTATTCAAGTGTATTGCACATTGAATCACACTACTGTTCAAAACAGATGGATTTAAAATGTTTTGCATTTCAATACGATGTGAATTGCTTGCTCAGAAAGGTAAACATCGAAAACAAGAGGTGTGACTTTATCCTATCAACCCGCCTCATATATGAGAACATCCGTGGCACAGTGAGATCGAATGAAGACTCCGACAGCAGCACACCCCAACAGTCCATGATCGAATCCCAAATCAGACCCATTAAAAAGATATGTGAAAGCTCTGGCCTCTGAAATTTGTTTATATATTTGTCGATTCATTTTTAAAGTCGGTAAAGTAGAAGTCGGATAAAGTAGAATATTGCAGAATATTGAACTATGATGTGCAAAGCTATTGATATCACCATATGAGGCAAATAGAATCCAAGTGTGTCACAATTCAAATCCATAGTGTTCCGGCATGGTTCATAGCATAAGATTCACGCATGAAATTGATGTGTTTCACAATAAGCGCAAAATTAAGTGTGAGACACATGATGATGACGTGTACAATTTTTTGAGTGTACGCAGCTGAAAAGTAATGACGTTTCTACGTGCTACGTGCTACGGAATTGACGAGTGCACGGATAGATTTGAGTTCACTCACTCGACATATGTGTTCATTTTTAGTAAACAGGGCCCCGCTGTTGTGTCACTTTTTGTCGAGTGATTGAACTCAAATCCATCCGTGCACTCGTCTATGCTAAAGAAATTACTTTCCTTTAGGATTTCTTGACCCAGTACGCAGTTCTAAAGAAATCGGTAAAGAAAAGATCGATTACATTGGTATCGTGATCGACATGAAGGTGGCGCATTCTGAGTGTAATTTCACTTTCCTCACAGAGAACAGACGTTGAAGTTCGGTCAGAAACTTGTGTAAAATAAGTGGGAACGTCGCCGTTACGTGGTGTTAGCATCTCCTGATTTTCTCTATAAATTTTCCACTTTCGACCAATTTGGCGCTAGTATCGATAAATTTTCTGTTGAAAATTGCCACTTGGCGCTACTAGCACTTAGTGTCTAGTGTAATTTGTGCAACACCAGCGCCATCATGTTGTCAAAGAGGGTTTTTAAGTGGGAAAGTCACCGTTAGTGGCGCTTAAGTTGAATAGGAATCTTTACACAAGTTTTTAGAGAAATTTTGTTCGAGCCTCCATGTCTGTTCTCTGTGCTTTCCTTGCGAAAAATGAGCTGATCAATTATTCCGTTAGGTAATGTTGGCGATTATTGCAAAACTGATGTTTTGGATGCATTTTAACAACATAAACACTAATAATTGTTAATTTTAAAATTAGACGACACCCCCTATGATCTCAAAATTTAGCAAAAGACACCTCTTTATAGCTGTCAAATTTACTTTTGGGAATATTTCTCAAAAACTACTTTTCCGTTTTCTTTTCAGCTGCGTACCAGGCTTAATGCGTCATCTGGACAATTCAAATTGATGTTTTATTTATGGAAAAGAATGCTAATTACCGTTTAGGGCGAGGGGCGCGCATTCATCGATTTGACTGCGTGTTAATGAAAATACCGTTCAAATATTTATTAATAATTAAAATAGGGGAAATAGCTCTAATGTTGGCCTATGGATCTAAGATTGGGCCCATCGCTAAGAATCTGCTATTTATCAATTTTATCTAGATGAACGCGTCATTGGGACGGTACTAATGGATATTTTTGGTCCCGATTGAAAGTTTAGTCAATTGCTGAATTTATGTATGGGCCCAAATTAGGGGCATTTCCCCTACCAATTCAAAAATGGTACAGGCATCAAAAGCTCTCAATTAATAACTATGGAATTGCATCTAGAACACTAAGTTGAGAGCACGCAATAAAGTAATATCAAATATATCATATTAAAAATATGATCCATTCATGCCTTTTTCAAATATTGCAATGGCGACCCGCTTCACGCACCATCTAGCGTTAAAAAAGGTCAGCAACAATTATTTTATTTACAATCGAGGGGTGCGAATATAGCACTTATTATAAAAGTAAGAGTCAAATTATTTTCATTAATTACATTGTGTTTATTACTTTAAAATTTGTCTGACATGTCAGTGTTGTCATCAAATAAAATAATATGCTGAAATACGTTCATTTGAAATATTAAACAAATTTTCATTTGGTTTACTCCTCGTGACGATAAACTAATACATTGGTAGCCTTTTTGGCCACAGAGGTGCTTTCATCGCTAAAAATTTGGTTCGCCAGCCAAGCGAAAGAGTGGATCATATTGTTAATATAATATATTTGGTAATATGCAATAAGCGAATATGTGAAGAAGAAGAAGAAGAAGAAGAAGAAGAAGAAGAAGAAGAAGAAGAAGAAGAAGAACAATTCTTCTGAGATTTTACAGTACACCATTAAACTGTTAGTCTTTAAAGAATAAAAAAAAATTGGAAAAAAATACGGGCATGGCAAATAACTGAAATAAACATCATTTATTTAACTCTTCGGAGTATAATGTATTGTGTCATAAACGTAGTAAAAGCTGCTTCCATTTAATTTCGATGCGGCTAATCATAATGATGTATTCAGATTGCGAATAGCTCTCCTTATTACTTTCCTTTGGCTAGTTTACACAAAATTAAGTGAGTTTTTTTTTGCGATGTAAAATGATGCGTCGAAAAAAACTGGTATTTTTCGACAATGCTTCAAAGCAAATTGCACCTTAAAACCCATTTTTGGAATACAAGTAGTTCAATTCAAGTTTTTCTATTTCTTCTTGTAATATATAGCATGGCTATGCGGATGGCCTTGCCGATGGTCGTGAAACGCTCTATCAGGAGGATTTCAACCGGGGTTATCGATCTGGTTTCCTGATGGCTTTCAAATTGGCACAACACCAGGGATTTGCTTCAGGCCTCCAGAAGCAGACGGATAAAGCAACCCTAGCAGAGGATATTAGGCAGGATTTGATTCTGCGAAAAGAATCAGCCCGGGCACATTGTCTCTTATGTAGCGACAAAACCCTGGAACAAAACTCGCTCAAAGATATTAATGCTGCGCAGACTAAACATAATGGAGTCGTTTTAGGTAAGCTAAAGGATCGCTATGGCATTTCTTAGGAAATGAAAAACTGCCGATCGGAGTCAGATGCGTATTCAATACTTTTTATTCATGATACTTGCATACTTTTGTTTTAGAGTATATGTATTTTGTAATCAATATCCGTTATATATGATGTAAGAGCAGTATGCGTAAAATACAGTGGCTGTAAGATCATCTACAAATAATTGTTCACTTTTTTATCGTTAGTGATTATTTTGATGTTTGTTTTTACGAGTTCGAGTGTTGCGGCAAGTGAGCATCATACTTGAAAGGAAATACTGGCGATAATATCACTCAGCCCTACGTTTTAATTTTGACTATCCATAATCACTTTCTAATTGTATAGATTATTTCAATGTATAGCAGTTGAATGAGTGAAATTGTTCATAAAATGGTACCGTATCTTTGATTTTGATAGTTAATGAGAAATCTTTGTGTGAAAATAACGCAATTTTAACAATTTATATTTGTGCAATTATATTTGATCAAATGAAAAACTTTACTAGGTTTCTGAAAAAGTAGAAATTTTTAATTTCAATATTCCACTCTCTACTTTCAGCTCAAATCATTCAATTTGATCAAGACAGCCTTCTTCTGTTGTTCATATTTATGTCATACTTGTGTATGTCTCTAGCGTGCAATGCAAGAGACTGATGTGACTTAGTTGGATCTAATAAATGAATACTCCTCAACCTAGAACTAAACCTATACAATGAACATTGACGAGACATACTTACATTTATAAATAAATCAAACGTACTAGAAGAAAAATAAAACAAAGTGAAATAAAATCTTTGAAATTATTAAAAAAAAACAACAACGAAATAAATACTTAAGTGCCTAGCGCGCGATGGTAAACAAATAAAACTAATCACAATGATTTGCTGCAACATGAAGTCCTTTCAGCCTTTCTTCATATTTCTGAAATACGTTTGAAAGTTTCCTACAATTTCACTGGGTGAATCGAAACAAAAAGTGATTATCTTATAGAGTTTTTTTTTGTAGAGCTACGTACGTTACCCCGTACCACACTTAATTACTGATTCAATATTCTTCCATTAGCTTTCATTATGTCGCAGCGTTATCGCATGCGTCGGGAACATGGCTATCTAGGAGGATACTTATTTCTAAAAAAAAACAGATTCCTCATATTGTATAAAGTATCTAAAAATCTTTTATCAATAAATGCAGTGTCAAATATGAGATTTCCTCTCTTTGTGTATTTGAATGTAGGGTGTTTTTGTGTTATTAGATCTGTTTTTGTTTTTGTTTTGTAGAAATCTACAGTTTTGCATCAGTAGAGTGTAAAGATTGCGTGAAACTGAAGGTGTTGTTTTGTAGCGAAACAATTGAATTTCGTTAAAATTAGTTGTTGAAGTGTTCGTGCTTCAACGTTTTGTAGCGGTCCTTCTCGCTGCTATTTTCCGGTGGTTCACAATCAAACGATGCCATTGCCAATGTGTTTTCATTTAAAATACTGTTGGTCTGTAGGAACATGATGATCTTGCTGTTTTTTTCGTAAGGACAGTTGACCTGCTTCCAACCGATGAACTCGTTGACCTGTTTGGCAAGTTGCCAGAACTTTTCAAAATTGATATGGCCATTTGGTAGTCTGTAAAATAAGGTAAAAAAAACAATTACTGATCGGTTAAACTATGTTCCAGACTTGGTAGTACAAATACAACTCAATTGTAAGTTAAAAGTACTCAACCATCTTGTTCTCTCCGTGAAGTGAATGGTTGAGTGATTTTAACTTAATTTTGGATGAAAATCATGGCACCCTTTGGCACTGCAATCACTCTGCATCAGTTGGTGTTTTTCGAGACCGCTTGTGTTTTCAACAGCTCGGAATTTCGTTTGCTCTCGACGGGTTCCAGAAGTCTTTCCCTTTCGTGTTTAATTATTAGCGTTAATTAGGAATAAACAATGTGAACTGTGTCAAATTGCCAGTACTCAGCCTGGACTGGACGAAAAACGATGGAGAGCCTGGGCTATGAAAAAGAGGTTAGATACGGGCAGCTATGTAAAACTTGTAGGTGTTACACACTACCAGTGCAGTTTTTAATCCTCTCCGAGTAACCGACAGATCTAAGAGAGAGAGAGAGAGCGAGAGAACGTACCGAGATAAATTTTTTTTCACGACTTAAATGAAAGAGGACTGTCTTCATACGGAATTTGTCAACGGCGCCGACTGGGATTGAACCCAGGCTTGCTGGGGTGAGAGGTAATCACGCTTACCAATACACTACCGGCACCGCTATGAGTTCAGATTGACGGTGACGAAATCTAAGTGGCCGACGAGTTCGTGTATTTAGGCTCACTGGTGACTGCTGATAATAATATCAGCAGAGAAATTCGAAAACACATTGTGGCAGGAAAATGTGCCTATTTTAGACTCTGGAGGACCCTGCGGGCGAATTAAATACGCTGCCGCTCGAAGTTGACGCTGATTAGACCTGTAGTCCTTTACGGCCACAAGACCTGGTATATGCTCGTGGAGGACAAACGCGCCCTTTGTGTTTTCAAACGGAAGGTGTTCCGTACCATGTACGATAGAGCACAGATGAGGAGGAAGTAAATTATCCACGAATCGCGCCAATTGCTGGGAGAACAAACCATCATCACGCAAAAATCAAGCGACCATGGATGGCTTGGCACATCGGTTCTGGATAACGACCATACTGGAACGAAACGATAAGGCGCGTAGCGATCACTGGAAGGCAAGCCTTTGGGAGCCTCTGCGTGGCTAATCTTTTGAAAAAAAAAAATCGATTTTCTTGACTCTGTGGCATCGCCCGGCAACACTGGTCAGCCTGGCTTCCATCGGGTCGTCGTCGAAGAAAAAGAACTCAAGCTGTCAATCTTTGCTACGCAACTATCAACGCGCGAACGTGGTTGTTTTTCTATTGAAAGTAAAAATAAAGATTTTAAGTATTTCGTAACTAATCGTTCTTTATTCCGTGTCCGATCGCTACATTGGTGACCCGCGACGTCGCGAATCTAAAAGTTTCGGTCCGATTTCACGGTTATTCGCCGATATTCGATCTCAAAGCCGAAACTAACCTCAAAATGCCGGACGATAACGGGAGCAACGCAGCAGCATCTGTCGCGGTAAAACTACCGGATTTTTGGAAAACTGATCCGGCTATGTGGTTTGCGCAATCGGAAGCGCAATTCCACTTTGCGAAAATCGTCAATGATGAAACCAAGTTTTACCACATCGTGGCCAAAGTGGATCAATCGGTTATATGTCACATAGCCGATTTGGTAGCTGCTCCTCCAGCGGAAAATAAATACAAAACAGTGAAAGATCGCCTAATTGCTCGCTTCGCCCTGTCTGCTCAAAGCCGCTTCGAACAGCTGCTGGGGGCCCACGATCTTGGCGATATGCGCCCAACGCATCTGTTAGCAAAGATGAGAGTGTTGTCGACGGGTTTGGGCGTGGATAACAATCTGCTCAAAATGATTTTCATTCAACGCCTCCCGGCAAACATTCAACCAATTCTCACATGCCACGATGGTACCATCGAGAAGTTGGCTGAAATGGCAGACAAGATCACCGACGCCTCCAACGGTCAGTCCTCCGCAGTTGCCATGGTGCACACGAACCAACGTACAGCAACAGTGGTGAAAGGAAGCTAGCAGAGCAGATCGAACTTCTCACAGCGGAAATCCGACGCCTGAAGGCTCCCAACCCTGAGCGAGGCCGTTCGTTTTCGCGAAACCGAAGTGGTTCTCGTTCGTCATCACGATCCGGACTGTGCTGGTACCATAGGAAATATGGAAACGATGCTCAGCGGTGCCGAGAACCGTGTTCATGGAGCTCAAAAAACTAGCATCCTCCCCACCATAATCGGCGGTGGTGGCCGGAGTGTCGGAAAGTCGCCGAATGGTAATTTTTGACAGGACGAACAATACACGCTTTCTAATCGACACTGGATCGGACGTCACAATATTGCCTGCCTCCAGGAGAGATCGATTGAACGGTACCGTTATACAACAGCTCCACGCAGCCAACGGAAGTAGAATTCGGACATTTGGAACGAAATTTATTCCTGTTGACCTAGGATTGAGACGAAGATTCACCTGGAATTTTCTCGTTGCTGAAGTGACGATGCCAATAATCGGTGCTGATTTTTTGGCGCACTTCGGCATACTCGTCGATTTGAAAAACCAAAAACTGATAGATGGCCAGACAGGATTGAAGTCTTCTGGAGGTATGATGAATGCTGCTCTGCACAGTGTAACACTTGTTGGTGCCGATCATCCGTTCCACGATTTGTTAATGGAGTACCGGGAAATAACTCTGCCATCGACGCTTCGTTCTGTCACGCAGTGTGACGTAACCCATCACATAGTTACTCGTGGACCACCCGTGGCGTCTAAAGTTCGACGAATGCATCCGAACAAAGTTAAAGCTGCTAAGGAAGAGTTTCGCCTTATGTGTGACCTAGGAATATGCAGACCATCGAGTAGCAGTTGGGCAAGTCCTTTGCATTGTGTGCTGAAAAAGAACGGGAAATGGCGTTTCGTTGGTGACTACCGTCGCTTAAATCATATCACTACACTTGACCGTTATCCGGTACCGCACATCCACGATTTGCTGCATTCGCTTCATGGTAAGTCCGTTTTCGCAACTCTTGATCTGGAGCGAGCGTATCATCAGGTTGCGGTGGAGGAAGCAGACATTCCCAAAACGGCGGTCATCACATCGTTTGGCTTGTTTGAGTTCACCCGCATGCAATTTGGGTTATGTAACGCAAGTCAGACGTTCCAGCGCTACATGAACTGAATCTTTGGTGATCTTGATTTCGTTGTTGTCTTTATAGATGACATATGCATCGCTTCTGAATCCCTTGCTCAACACCAGGAGCATCTACGCATAGTGTTTGACCGCCTACGCCAGCACGGACTCGTTCTAAATTTGGGTAAGAGCGTGTTTGCCCAAAAGGAAGTGGAATTTTTAGGATACCTGATCAGCAGTGATGGAGTGCGGCCGCTCCCGTCACGCGTCCAAGTCATTATGGACTACGAGAAACCGACAACAGTCAAGGAACTCCGTCGCTTTCTGGCACTCGCCAACGGCTACAAACGCTTCGTTCGTCATGCATCCGACATCCAAGCTGAGTTGCAGAAGCTTATTCCCGGGAACAGGAAAAACGACATACGTAAACTACAGTGGACAAATGCAGCTTCATCAAGCTTCGAGCGTTGTAAAAAATCATTAGCGGAGACAGCACTGCTTCACTATCCTGACTCGTCGAAACCATTAGCTCTGATGATCGATGCCTCAAATATTGCTGCGGGGGCTGTCTTGCAGCAGCTAAATGGTCAGAATTGGGAACCACTCGGATTTTATTCCGAAAAATTTTCGATGTCCCAAACGAAATACTCTACTTTTGGCCGTGAACTGACTGCGATGAAAATGTCTGTGAAATATTTTCGGCACTTCCTTGAAGGACGCAACTTCACGATCTTCACTAACATACGCGCTAACAACCAATTCCAGCTCTAGGCTACCGCATGAAGAACGATACCTACGTTTCATCTCGGAATTTACTACGGATATACAACATGTCAGTGGAAGTGAAAATTACGTCGCCGATGCATTGTCTCGTGTGGAGAGTATACTAGCGCCTACTTCGGTGGACTATGAAGAAATCGGACGAAAGCAGAAAAACGACGCGGAGCTTCAGCAGTTGATGCAATCCAAATCTACTTCGCTGAAATTTGAAGCAAAACGGATGAGTGGTTGTTCTCAACCGATCTACTGTGACGTCTCGACCGGAAAACCACGACCTTTCGTTCCAAGTACTCAACGGAGAACCATCATGGAATGCCTACACGGAATTTCTCACCCAGGAGCACGAGGCAGCAGGAAGTTAATCTCCGAGCGATTCGTTTGGCCAGCTATGAACCGTGAAATAAATGAGTTTGTCAAACACTGCGTCGACTGCCAACGGTCGAAGGTGCATCGACATACCGTCTCTCCGTTAGGAAAATTTGACCTACCGAAGGCTCGTTTCCAACACCTTCATATTGATCTGGTTGGTCCTTTGCCGCCGTCACAAGGATACCGCTACCTACTGACCATGATTGACCGTTTTACCAGATGGCCCGAAGCGGTTCCACTTGTCGATATGACTGCAGCATCTGTGGCTCAAGCACTGTACTCAACATGGATAGCAAGATTTGGAGTCCCAGAAAACCTGACAACCGACCAGGGACGGCAATTTGAGTCCGATCTCTTTCGGGAGTTAACGCGAATGTTAGGTGTTCACCATATTCGTACGAATGCCTATCACCCACAAGCGAACGGCATCGTAGAACATTTTCACCGAACATTGAAAGCATCGGGGGACGACCTGCAGTGCTCGGTTGCGGATATGGTTTACGGTCAGGCTTTACGGATTCCTGGTGAATTCTTTCAGTCTGTACCTGGAGATATCGACCGATCGGAGTTTGCCCAAATGCTTCACCGTACGTTCGACAATATAAAACCGCACGATATTAAACGTCATGGAGAACGACAAGTTTTTGTCAACGCCAATTTGAAAACATGTACGAGTAGATTCTGTGAAGCGACCGTTGCAGCATCCTTATGAAGGTCCATTCAAGGTAATAAGACGAGATGATAAGTTCTTCGACGTACTTATTTCTGGAAAACAGCAGCGCATTTCAGTCGACCGAATAAAAGCGGCTTTCACTTGTAATCCGGATTTGCAGAAATATCCTCAAGATGATCATCGTACGAAAGTTACACAATCTGGACATCGCGTAAGATTTTTGGTGTAACTGGAGGGGCCCTGTGGCATCGCCCGGCAACACTGGTCAGCCTGGCTTCCATCGGGTCGTCGTCGAAGAAAAAGAACTCAAGCTGTCAATCTTTGCTACGCAGCTATCAACGCGCGAACGTGGTTGTTTTTCTATTGAAAGTAAAAATAAAGTCCGATCGCTACAACTCTATTAAAAATGACAACGTTTAAAATAAATTATTATTTTTAATAAAACAAGTGAGTTCTGTATTTAACGCTTGATTAAAATCTCACAGATTCTTAAATGATGGCAAAAATTCTGCTAAAATATTTTCCGTAAAATTTAGTTTCCTGCTCGAATCGAGATTGATGTGGACATCGATCCAGTAAAAACGGACTAAAATATGAATGTAAGCAAACTGATTTAAGGAAAACCGAATGGAGACTGTCCGTTGCTAAGCAGGCGAATGGAGAGGAGTTCTGTAGACGTTGCTGCATCTAATACCCCGTACAGACTATGGCTTATATCATGTAATATAGGATATCTTGCAATGAGCACTCATACATCTAGTTTTCACTGGAAATCCTATGTATGAGTGTTCATTGCAAGACAGCCTATATTTCATGATATAAGCCCAGGGCTGGTAGTGAGTCACTTTTTAGTGACTTGGTCACTTTTTTCAAGCCAGTCACTAAAAAGTCTGTACTAAAGAGCCTAAATTTATAAAGAGGCGATATGTAAAAATTGGAACAATCGATTCTCTGTCAAAGTCATAGGAAAAGTCATTCCAATCGAGCAGAAGACCTGTCAAATGGATAAGATGTCGTCTCTTTATAAATTCAGGCTCTTTAGTCTGTACGAAAGCTTGGAAGAAGCCTGTTGCCATATTTTTCTGGTCCGGCTGTCACTTTTTGGGATAAAAAAGCTGAGTAAAGGTTTCCCAGCAGTAAAAAGCACCTATAAACGTGCCGCCATATACTGGCAATTCGAAATCAATCCGACATCAGCTTCGTCAGCTCGTTTATCATCAATTATACCTTTTGGGAAAGTGCTTTAGGATGATAACAAGCCACCACTCAACTATGTACATTGTACAACCTTGTACACCAAATGAAACTTAATTAGTGCTTTACACTTACTTATTTGTACATCCTTCATTTAGGAAATATAAATCCTTGACTAGTAGACTGAAGAAGGGGATGACGATTCGCTGCCGGTCGTCGGTAGCGCCTTCCGAGCGCCACATGGCCGCCTTGAGCGTTGATCGATAACTGCTAAAGTTACTCGTCGGGTCCATTTGATGCTCAAGAATGGAGAATTTGGCCGATTGAATCTTAGCCCACTGTGGGTAAAAAAATGTCCATTAAAAATATTTATCCCAACTTTTAGGTGTTCAACAGACTCACCGTTTTCTTCAACCGCGAAATAGGGTACAAATTGAGCCCAGCAATGACAGCCATCAACGTGTTGAAGTTTCCAATGTTGAACGACTCACGGGCTGTTTCGATCCAATACTCGATTACTCTGGCTCGCTGCTTTTTCTTAGAATGTTTACAAATCTCAGTGGCCACAATATACGACAGTCGATTGAACCACTGCACATACGATTCCAGATTACGTGTCTTCTTCATGTCCTTGATTGACGTATCTACATTTGGGTTCTCTTTGGCAAATGCTTGTACAAATTCTTCCGGCCCGATGTAGGACAACCGTTCGAGCTCAATATGAGTCAATTGGTGTGCTAATACTGTTGGACTAGGGCATAGATCTGTGATGTCCGGCGTCGAAAGTGTCGAACTAATCGAAGAAATACTGTTGACTGATGATGTGGACGACGATGTTTGATGATGTATCGAAGAGGATGATTTCTCCGTAGATTGATGATAACTGTTGCTGCTACTGCGGGAATCGCTTCGTTGTTGATTACCGTGTTTCAAATCACATTCCTTGCTAGTTTCGAGGTTGAGTTTATCGAGAAATTCTTCGTATTTCTCTAACGTTTTGAGCCTTTGAAGGAGATTCTGTAGTAACGTGGAAACCCTTGTTCGAAGCTTTCCATCAATATTGATGCATTTTTGTGTCATTGTGCGTACGTGTTGCATTACCCGCTCATCACGGAAATCATAAGGGAATGTTTCTATCCACTCGGATAATAGCTGGACAAAGTTACAAGCGAACCGACTTTGACTTTGAGATTTTTGCTGAAAGTGGAGAAGAAGAATAGTTGGAACTATTAGATATACGAAAAGGTACAAAGGGGTCATGTATTAATTATGTCATTCAAAATTGGGGAAACAACTCCATAGTAACGTTTTTTACCTATACCTAATGCATTGCTTGTCACAGAATCTTACAACTCCCTTCTTCCTTTAGTGACACAACAATTTAGCGAATATATTAATAAGAAGAACTCTTGCAAATGTTAAAAATAGTGTTGTGTTCGATTGAAAAAAAAAACATACAAGGAATAGGTGATCACGATCTGTAAATAATAACTATGGTATTAGGCGAGGGGCACGCGGTGCTTTGGAATTAAAATGCAAGCAAACTTACTGTAGTTATGAAAGTAACGTACTTAATGTAATTAATGCATTTTAAGTTGTAATGAAAGTTATTTTGCCGTACTTAACGTAATTAAAAGTATTTCAAATGTAATTAATGGTTCTGAAAATGTTTTTAACGGACTTTGATTACGAAATTACGATCGTACCTAAATTAAAGCTGAAATTAATGGAATTACTTTTATTACAGCTCTTTCCTGCGTCGCAATTAAAGGTTATTGCGTGCAAAGGCCTGAATAGAGATGAAGCGAACTGAAAATTTCATATAAAATACTAGATTTGTCACCTGCATGCGTGAAAAATGTAATTAATCATATTGTCGAGCAGTTTTGGAACGACCTTCTGCCAGCGATTTTAAGGAAATGAAACAATAATTTCCAGATTTCCAGAAAGCATATTACAAAGAAGACCCGATTTTCTCTAGGTTGTAGAAGAATAAATATCATAATATTGTTCCACGTTAAAGTTCGAGTGGTAGGAAACGTCATTTCAAACTGCTCGAATGATGTGATCCATTGATAAAAACTTCACTTCGCTTCAAACTGTATACAGATCAGTGTTGGCAAAATCGTTATTCAAATGATATTTTTCCATTTTCATACGCTCTCAATATCACGCGTGATATTGGAACATAATATCAACAATCAATACGAAACTAACGATTTCAAATTGGCTCACTACTTGACTAGCCTATTGGTTCCAAGTAAATCGACTAACGTAGCCCATTCTAGTATAAATTCCAGTACTACACTATGTTTGTTTTGATTCGCTGTGAAAGTTTGACAGATAAAATGAGGGGTTCGTGGATTTTCCTATGTTTCGAGGGGTGCATCGATTAGCTTGGGACCGAAGATAGTACCAGAGCTGAGCGAAAAAGTTGAGCTCGTTTCTTCGGGACCTTCTGGTCTTAGAGTTACCTCTAAGCTAGTCAAGTAGTGAGCCAATTTAAAATCGTTAGTTTCGTATTGATTGTTGGTGTAAAGTTGTTTATTATTTTCCTCTGGCTAACCTAAAAAATGTATGAAAGTAGATCTGTCAAAATGAGTTTGACATCGATTTGTTATGTATTTTCCTCGGATATTCACTAACACGCTCTCACATATCGCACCAATACAACCGGACGTGAAAATCTCTATACATCGGTATTGACAATAATGCTGTATTCACATCATCAATATTATTGTCAATAATTCCCCTTCGCGTCAATATATTGGTACGTGTGGGGTTCGCTTAAGAGTTGACTCGACACAAAAATGATTCCTTTGCACATCGTTTTCTAAGAAAGAGAAAGTATAGTTTGCTATCTCTCTTTACTCTTCACCGATGGCAGACACGTAGCTACTGCTGCCAGCAGTAACAACGATATCAAAGCTTGTAATATCATTTGTAGTTGCTTGTTTGTTGATTTTTGTTTACGAAAATCAAACGTGATCTTGGTCATTGATGAGATTTTATTTTTTGATATTTTTTTGAACACTGAAACACATACAATCCAGTAAAATCGAATATTGAATTGCGCTTACGTTTACTTTTTTCACACATGCAGCGTTCGTGAAAAGCACAACAGCTAAGCGAAAAGTTAACGTTTCGAGAAAGAGCGTATCAGTATCAGAGCGTCAGTTGCGAAAAGAGGAAATTGAAAAATGGTCTACAACCATTTTTTCACAACCTTGTTCTTCTTCTTCTTCTTCTTCTTCTTCTTCTTAATTCCTTTATTTAACGTCGGTCTCTGTTCCGCAATCTAGTGCCCTTTTGAACGGTTAAATCAAAGTGCCCACTGATGTGGCGAAGTAGTTGTGGCATCTGCTAGCATGTCAAAACATCATATCGAAGTTCGCCACACTCCACACAACTTCGACATGGTGTTCTGACATGTTGTATGATGCCACATCTCCGCCACTCCTGTCACAGTCCTCCTCGCCTTGCCAGCCAGTGGGGTTGTTGTGTTTCGTGTTTGATGGTTTCTTGGATGTCGTCGGTTTCGGTTTTAATTTTGTTTTATTTTATGAATGTTACTATTTCTTTCAGGTTCGTCTCGTTGTACTCTTTTAGATTGGTGGTCAGCGGTTTGCAATATTCTACCACGGTAAACTCTAATCTTTCGTTTGGGGCAATAGTAGAGTAGTTGCTGAAGGTATTCTTTTTCATCGCACAGTTCGCAGCTGTCGTTGATTTTCCAACCCCACTTGTACCCATGCTTGGCATGCACAGTTCAAGAACAACATGTGAAAAGGGCATACAAGCTTTTTGTAAACAAACCTTCTTATGTCCTTTTCTCGCCACCCATATGACGCCAACCCAAACCATTAACATCACCGGGTAGGGGAAGCTTTCCCCTTCCGATGATGTTGTTGGTTTGTGTGGGCGACCCTCGGTTGGCGAGATAAGGGCCTACAAAGGTTTGTTTACAAAAAGCTTGTATGCCCTTTTCAAATGTGGCTCTTGAGTTGTACACACCAACTCCTCATTTGGTAATAACTTTTCACTCAGTTGTTGAAATTTGTGTTTCTTTAAAGTAATTGATAGATTAGGATCATAGTTTACTATACACGGAACCAAATGTTGTTAATTTAAATCAAAAATTTATATGTTCATTATATAAACATATAAATAGTTCAAAGTAAATTGAAAACAAGTTTTCAACAAAAATATGTATGTTTGAATTAAATTCAAAGGCATGTTTATTTCAACAATACATAATTTGGGTAAACAATTTTCAGCGTGTCTTTTTTTCCTTGTTTAAATTCGACAAACTCAACCGAAAACGGGCTGCAAGAGGCGAAATAGAAGTAGAGGGTTGGACCCCATAATATCAACGTCTCTCCGTCGTTTCTGATGCCGATCCCCATATCATCCTCACCCCCAACCGACGTCGAAAGTAAAACAGATCATCCCCCAACACCAAACGTAGAAAAAGGCCGGTATTAGGACCACCGTCAGAAACGACAAAACGACGCTAATATCACAAAGTTTCACCGGTTTTCTGAACTGGAACCCCCGGACACCCACTCCGACGGCCCCCCGGATCTCGGACCCGGATCACAACACCCATAAACTACCCTTAATCACACCGAAAAATAGCAGGAATATAGATGCCCTGCCTGACGATTTCCATTTATTTGCTATTCATTTTAAATATTTTGTTTTATCCCGCATTCAAATGCTAAAATAATTTCAAAAGATTTTTTTTTAATTTTATTTTATGCATGAAAAGCATGTTTAAAATAAACATATTTATTTTTGGTCACATATAGTTGTCAAATCAACCAAAAATATTCACGTTTATTTTCAACACGAATATTTTTAAAATAAACGTAACAATATTTTTGTTTTAAACATTATTAACAATGGCTTCAAATATGGAATACGTTTGAAATAAACCTAGTTTATGTTTGTGGCCAGAACAAACTGAGTTTACGTTTAAATTTACCGTAAATATGTTTGTTTCGACGTTAAATTTTTCTGCGTGTAGATATGCAAACAGTAGGTAAATCTTAACATTTGAATCTAGACCAATGAATGTTTACACTTAAAGTCCAAGATGTGCAGCGAGCAAACTACTTTTTTTTACGTATATATAACAAGCTTAAACTAAATAAGATAAGTTTATTTTCAGATCGTTGAATATTTGAATATATGACATCATTAGATTTACAAAATAATAATACACTTTTTTCAGTTTTCATTCATGCGGGATGTATGGATTTTAATTATTTAAGCTTGCTTTCAGCTCTTCGATGATGAAACACCTCTAGGATTGTATTATAATATTTCATTTATATTATTGAATTTTGCATTTATATTATAAATATTCACTTTTTCAGCTTAGAGATGAACTAGCCTACAGAAGTTGAAGTAAAGTTAATGTAAAGTTAAAGTAAAGTTAAAGTAAAATTAAAGTTAAGTTAAAGTTAAGTTAAGTTAAAGTTAAGTTAAAGCTAAGTTAAAGTTAAGTTAAAGTTAAGTTAAAGTTAGGCTAAAGTTAAGTTAAAGTAAGTTAAAGTTAAGTTAAAGTTAAGTTAAAGTTAAGTTAAAGTTAAGTTAAAGTTAAGTTAAAGTTAAGTTAAAGTTAAGTTAAAGTTAAGTTAAAGTTAAGTTAAAGTTAAGTTAAAGTTAAGTTAAAGTTAAGTTAAAGTTAAGTTAAAGTTAAGTTAAAGTTAAGTTAAAGTTAAGTTAAAGTTAAGTTAAAGTTAAGTTAAAGTTAAGTTAAAGTTAAGTTAAAGTTAAGTTAAAGTTAAGTTAAAGTTAAGTTAAAGTTAAGTTAAAGTTAAGTTAAAGTTAAGTTAAAGTTAAGTTAAAGTTAAGTTAAAGTTAAGTTAAAGTTAAGTTAAAGTTAAGTTAAAGTTAAGTCAAAGTTAAGTTAAAGTTAAGTTGAAGTTATGTTAAAGTTAAGTTAAAGTTAAGTTGAAGTTATGTTAAAGTTAAGTTAAAATAAAGTTAATATCATTTTATATTCTGTTTATTCTCACGAGTGCGAGTGTGTGTGCGTGTGTATACGCCCGTTTTTGTGTTTGTGTACCTATTATAAATCACTACAATCAGCATTAGTTTACCAAAAACGATCCCGGCTGCTGCAAACCTTTCCCCACATCCAACATCCCAGTGATTTCTCGTGGAAGCGCAGAGGATTTCTCGGTTTC